ATGATGCAGTGAACGTACGGATATATATGCCTTTTTAAATTAATGTTCTGGGTTTCTTCGGATAAATATCCAGAAGTAGAATTGCTGGGTCCTTCTTTGTCTCTTGGTCTCTTCTTTGCCTTTGTCTGTTTTGTCTCGTATAAGTATTGCTACCCCAGCTTTTTTGTTTTTTTGTTTCTATTTTCATGAAATATCTTTTGCATACCTTTACTTTTAGCCTGTGTCTTTCTATCTGAAACAAGTCTCTTGTAGATAGCATATGTTAAGGGTCTTATTTTGTTATTCATTCAGCTGCCATATGTCTTTTGATTGGAGACTTTAATCCATTTGCATTTAAAATAATTGTTGATAGATATGTATTTATTGGCGTTTTATTCATATTTTCTATCTTTTTAAAAAATTTTATTTTCTTAAAGAAGACTTTTAACATTTTTTGTAATGCTGATTAAGTGGTGATGCATTCTTTAGCTTTTTCTTTTCTGGGAAGCTCTTTATCTACCCTTTGATTCTAAATGGAGCTTTGCTGGGTAGAGTAATTTTGTTTGTGGGTCCTTGCTTTTCATCACTTTGAATATTTTGTGCCAAGCCTTTCTGGCCTGCAAAGTTTCTATTGAGAAATCAGCTGACAGTCTTATAGAAGCTCCCTTGTAGATAACTAACTGCTTTTCTCTTGCTACTTTTAATATTCTCTCTTTGTCTTTAACCTTTGGCATTTTAATTATGATGTGTCTTGGTGTTTGCCTCTTTGGGTTCATCTTGTTTGGTACTCTGTGCTTCCTGGACTTTTATGTCTATTTCCTTTACCAGGTTAGAGAAGTTTTGTGTCATTATTTTTTGTTTGTTTGTTTTTTTGTTAATCCTCACCCAAGGATATTTTTTCCCATTTATTTTTAGAGAGAGTGGAAGGGAGGGGGAGAGGCAAAAATCACCTGGTATTTGTCTTTCTCTGTCTGACTTATTTCACTCAGAGAGAAACATCACTGTAAGAGAGACACCTTGATTGCTTGCTTCCCACACATGCCCCAACTGGGGCCAGGGATCGAGCCTGCAAACCGAGGTACGTGTCCTTGACCAGAATTGAACCTGGGACCCTTCAGTCCATGGGCTGATGCTCTAACCACTGAGCAACCAGTTAGGGCATGTCATTATTTTTTTTCAAACAGGTTTTCAATTTCTTGCTCTCTTTCTTCTTCTTCTGGTGCCCTCATGATATGAATGTTGGTAAGCTTGAAATTGTTCCAGAAGCTCCTTACACTATCTTCATTTTTTTCGTTTTGTTGTCCTGAGGGGTGTTTTCTTCTTTCTTACCTTTCAAGTCATTGATTTGATTCTCTACTGTGATTCCCTGTAATGTATTCTTCATTTAAGTTAGTGTATTCTTCATTTCTAACTGGATCTTTTTTATGTTTTCTATCTCCATTTTTATGTTTCCTATCTCTTTACTGAAGTTCTCACTGAGTTTTTCTACATTTTCCTTATGTTCAGTGAGTATCCTTATAACCAGTGTTTTGAGCTTTGCTTTTGGTAGATTGCTCGGTTTAATTCTGTTTAGCTCTTTTTCTGAAGTTTTGTTCTGTTCTTTCATTTGGGGCATGTTTCATTTGTGTTGTTATTTTGGCTGCTTCCCTGTGTTTGTTTCTGTGTATTAGGTAGAGCCTGAATGTCAGTGGTTCTCAACCTTCTGACCCTTTAAATACAGTTCCTCATGTTGTGACCCAACCATAAAATTATTTTCGTTGCTACTTCATAACTGTAATGTTGCTACTGTTATGAATCATAATGTAAATATCTGATATGCAGGATGGTCTTAGGCGACCCCTGTGAAAGGGTTGTTCGACCGCCAAAGGGGTCGCGACCCACAGGTTGAGAACCGCTGCTGTATGTCTTCTAGTCTTGGTAGAGTGGTTTTATGTAGACGGTGTCTTTAGGGCCCAGTGGCTCAGTCTCCATAGTAATCTGAGCTGGGCACTCCAGACTGTGCTCCTTATGTGGGTTGTGTGCACCCTTTTGATCAGCTGTGAGGACTGGCTGAGACCACTAGAGGATCTGCTGTGCAAGGGCCGACCCCATGGAGCAGAACTCACTTCAGTGGGGCTTAGGTACCTTCTGAGTCCACCCCTTGAGTGTGTCTCTCATGGAGGTGGTTTGGTGGTGCTTTGATGTGGTCTGAAGCTGTCCACCTGGTGTGCTGGCTCTTGGGCCTCCTAATAGTTGCAGTCTAAGGTCAACTGCTGCTTGTGCTCTCCCCAGGGCCACCTGGCATGAGCTACAAAACAATCTTTAGATGGTTGCTATTTGTGCTGGCCTTGGAGGTGCCCAAGATAGGCCAAGCTGCAAACCAAGTTAGGCTGCTACTTGTGTCAGGTCTGGGGCCACTTAGAAGAGGTATGGGGTACACGGAGGCCAGATGGTGCTTGTTTGAGAGATTTTAGGAAAATCTGCTGCATGAGCTAAGACAGGCAGTTGTAAGGAAAAGCCACTGGGAAGGGTTTGGGTGGGCCAGCAAGTTGGGTGGGGCAGGGTTGCAGGGAATCACCAGGTTGTTGGAGATTCAGATATCACGGCCTCCTGCGGGCTGTGTGGGAGGGCTCAGCAAAGAAACAATGGCTTCTGCCAGCACTTCTGTCTGTGGGGAAAGCTGCCTCTCCAACCCTTGCCTTAATGCCAGACAATTGAGTTCCTCCCTGTTTGTCCCTGGCACTTTTTGAGCTTCTGCCCCAGCGCTGGAGCTCACAGTGCATGAGTTCAATTAAGTCCCTGCACAGGCTCTTTAAGAGGAACATCTGGGACTTCAGGAGCCCTTTGTCTCACTCAGCTACAACCCTTGCAGGTTTTCACAGTCAAAAATTATGGGGATTTCTCCCACTACTAGGACTCCTTGCTCCACAGTTGAGATATTCTTCCTGATTTTTACTAGGTGTACCAGTTAATAATGCGGATTTTTTTCAATAGATGGAGTTACACATATGGTGATATATATGGGATTTGATATGTATGCTATTTTGTTGTATTGACAGCAAGCTTCAAAACTTCATGTCAAATTTGCTGATGGTGTTAGCATCATAGATATTTTTATGCTTAAAAATGTTGAATTTCGTGCCAAAAAAAGAACATTTGTGGGAAGTTTTAATTCTTTACTTTATTTTGAAGAAAAAGTTATTGTATACTTCAGGAAGCTTATGGTGAACATGCTCCATCTCAAGATACTACTTGAGAACGCTGGTTTAAATGCCTTAAAAGTGATGATTTCTATGTGAAAGACAAAGAACGTTCAGGTCAACCGAAAAAGTTTGGGGACCAACAATTACAAGCATTATTGGATGAAGATGCATGGAAACTCAAAAACAACTTGCAGAAAGATTAAACGTTGCCCAGCAAACAAATTCCGATCATTTACAAGCAGTGGGAAAGATTTTAAAGGAAGGAAAATGCGTGCCACATCAACTGAACGAAAGACAAAGGGAAAACCAAAAAGTCATCAGTAAAATATTGCTTCAACGGCACGAAAGAAAGTCTTTTTTGCATCGAACTGTGACTGGTGATGAAAAGTGGATTTATTTTGAGAATCCCAAATGCACAAAATTATGGGTTGATCCAGGTCAACCATCAACATCGACTGCAAGGCCAAATCGCTTCAGAAAGAAGACAATGTTCTGCGTTTGGTGGGATCAGGAAGGTGTGGTGTATTATGAGCTTGTAAAACCAGGTGAAACCGTTAATACTGATTGCTACTTACAACAAATAATCAATTTGAACCATGCTTTGATCGTGAAACGATCAGAATGGGCCAGAAGACAGGGCAAAGTAATTTTGCTTCCTGATAACGCACCATCACACACTTCAAAACCAGTTAAAGACACATTAAAAGATCTTGCCTGGGAAGTATTAACCCACCCGCCCTATTCACCAGACCTTGCTCCTTCAGATTACCATTTGTTCTGATCAATGGCACACACACTTTCTGAGCAGCACTTCAAAACGTACAAAGAAGTGGAAAATTGGGTCTCTGAATGGTTTGCTTCAAAACAAGAAAAGTTCTATTGGGACGGTATCCACAAATTACCTGAAAGATGGGGGAAATGTGTAGCTAGTGAATGGACATTACTTTGAATAAAGCACTTTTGATGTTGCTCTTGAAATTATCGTGTTTTCTTTGATTACAAAATCCACCATTATTAACCGGTACACCTAGTAACTGCTGCATGTGGGTGTGGGACCAGCCTGTTCAGCATCTTCATCCCTCATATCAGTCTGATGTAGCTTCTTTATGTCCTTAGTTATAGGACACCTGTCTGTTCAGCTAGATATCAGGTGTTCTGAGTGATAGTTCCGTAGTTTAGTTGTAATTCTTGTTATTGTGGGAGGTTTCAGTATTGAGTTTACCTACATTGCCACCTCGACTGGCAGCCCATGCTTATTTCTTTAAAACAAATTTTTATAAGTGAAATTATAGAACTAATGCCATAGTATGCCCCAAGAAGGCTGTACCAATTTATATTCCATCAGGATAGGTGTTTTTTCCCTTTTTCTATGAGTGTACTTAAAAAAATTTATTATTTTATTTCAGAGAGGAAGGGACAGGGAGAGAGAGATAGAAACATCAATGATGATAGAGAATCATTGATCGGTCGCCTCCTGCACACCCCACTCCAGGGATTGAGCCCACAACCCGGGCATATGCCCTGACCAGGAATCAAACCGTGACCTCCTGGTTCATAGGTAGATGCTCAACCACTGAGCCATGCCAGCCAGGATGAATGTACTTTCAGAATTACTTTTTCCTTCTGTTTTTATTCTTTCTTCCAAAGTGACTCCCACCCTACACACACATTCTTATACATTAAGTAACGAAGTCAGATCTTAGTGGAGCTCATATGGGGCCACAATGGTGTCATGGTCAGGGCTGGAAAACTGAGTCGCTTATCACTGTATACTTGGTTCCTTCCTTTTGTCTGGCAAATATGGATTTGTGAAAAGTTCATTGGGCTTCTTTGTTTTAGGTTACACTCCTGGCACACCTTATAAAGTGTCCTGTTCCCCCACCAGCGGGGCGGTTCCACCATATTCCTCCTCCCCCAACCCATACCAGACTGCTGTATACCCTGTGCGAAGTGCCTACCCCCAGCAAAGCCCATATGCACAGGTAGGCCTTGGGTGCACTGTGAGGCTCTTGATACTGTTCTTGGGCACTGTATATGTAGATCCCATCTGGGGTCTTACCCACTGGGTGTAGAGTTCTGTTACAGTTGTCGCTCTTCCTCCCCACAGCAAGGCACATTCTACACACAGCACCTGTATGCAGCACCCCCTCACGTCATCCACCACACCACAGTGGTGCAGCCCAACGGCATGCCGGCGACAATGTACCCTGCTCCCATCCCTCCTCCAAGAGGCAACGGGGTCACCATGGGTATGGTGGCTGGGACCACTATGGCCATGTCGGCAGGTGAGTCGACTCTGGGTTTCCTGTTCTATGGTGGCATGAGAGCTGGGAAGGGAGAGCTCACTAATACCCTGACCCCTGGCCTTGATATTTCATGTCTAGATTTGTGTGGAAGGACATATTCTTTTGGGAAGGAATAGCATATTATATTTTTCTTTTTTTCTCCTTCTCCTTTCAGTTGAGACAAGACAGGAGTGGGGGTTAGAGTAATAAATCATGAACCAAGTACCCTCCTGGTAGAGTATGACTGGATGGCACTCTCTGAATTTCAGAGGGCTACTTTGTTGCTGAGTTGAGCCGTTTGACAGTAGGAACTAGGAGTGACCAGATCTCCTCTGTGAGCATCTCCTCTGTGACCAGATCTCCTCTGTAAAGCAGAAGGGCAACTTTATATTCTGGGGGATTGGACCTTTTAGTATGGGTTCCTTTGCAGGCCAAATTGTCTGTCTAGGAAAGCTAGTCTTGTGTTAATAGACATCACAGCTACTTGTACAAATCCTTTGACATTCATTGACTTTATTTCCCAAGGAAAATAAACCACTGAGAGATGCGAACCCTGGCTAGGATGGACACATCTACCTGGAGCCCTGGCACCTCTGTGGCAGGGGCCAGGTACACACGATACACTTGGTTGCCCAGGACTGGGATTTTAAAAAAAATATATTGTTCCCTCTATGTTTTCTAAACTTTACTTCAATTAAGAAAATCATGCCAGAGAGAAAGGTGTTTCTTCTTAGTCTCTATTTTATTTGGTTTTCCCATACTTATCTTTGAAGGCAAAAGAGATTATACTTTCTGTCATGTACATGTTTGTGACAGGTAGAAGGAAGGGAAGACAGGTCTGGGATGAGTGTGGGCAGTGAGACAGGAGAGTGAAGAGAGTGAAGGCTGTTATTTTTGAGGTAGAGCTTATCTGCAAATGGACTCAGATAATCGCTGCCTTTTCTTCAGGTTAGGGAAAAATACATTTAGCTTAATGTACTCTGAAGTTTATATGGTTTGGAATCTCCCTCAATCCCTCTCTTCCATGTATTTGTTTCATATTAATAATTTTTAAGGGTACAGTTCAGTAGTGTTAAGTATATTTACACTGTTGTGAAACACCTCCAGAACTTTTTTTTATCTTGCAAAACTAAAGCGCTGTTACCATTAAACAACCTTTCTTTCCCCCTGCCCGCCAACCCCTGACACCAGCATTCTACTTTCTGTCTCTATCAATGACTACTCTAGGGACTTCAAATAAGTGAAATTATACAGTACTTGTCTTTTTGTGACTGGTTTTTTTCACCTAGCATAATGTTCTCAAGGTTCATATGAGTTGTAACATGTGACAGATTTCTTCCTTTTTAAGGCTGAATAATATTTTTATTTTGTCTTTTATCATCTAATCCACAAAAATAATTGAGTATGTTTATATGAAGGGAAAGCATAAAGGTTTCCACAAATGTATTACCATTATGAGCTTTCTGTGTTTATACATCTTTGAGTAGTTCTTATATAATCAGAGTTCTGACAGCAGTCAAGATCCAAGGCCCTTTCCCTCTTCCTTACGTCCCTCCTTGTCAGAGGAAGCATAAAGTTGTGTAGTGATGATGTAAGGACAGCCTTGACTGTGGGCAGTGCTACCTGCCACACACTCCTCTTTCTTGCAGGTACCCTGCTTACTGCCCACTCCCCAACTCCTGTTGCCCCCCACCCAGTCACTGTGCCCACGTATCGGGGTCCAGGAACGCCCACCTACAGCTACGTGCCCCCTCAGTGGTGATCACCTGCAAATGTAAGTGACTGGTGAAGCCTAGGTTGGCTCTTGACTAAAGTGCATTTTTTTTCCAGTGGAGAATGGCAAATCTACCATAATTTAAACACTAATGAGAAAAATGCTACCTGACTGTTCATCCAAGTGTTTAAATTTTTGCTCATATTGGGTCTCTACAAAGTAGAAAAAAGAAGGAAACCATTGAGTACTTGCTATACTATGTTTCTTGTACCCGCCTCCTGCAAAATAAGTAGTATTCCAGTGTAATTGGAAGCCTCTGTGAGGTCCACGGGTATCAGGAACATTTTCTTTCTGCTGCCCTTTTTGGATTTCATCCTCCTCTAATTGAAATGCCTCCTTTTCATAGCAGCAGTGCCAGAGGAGCTCTGTGATTGTGTGTCTTTCTCCCTCCTGCCCAGGTTTGAGGATGGAGCTGTGCAGTCACATCCTGGATATTCCACAGCTGGTGCTGCAGGCCTTGTGCCTCCAACCAGGACTTTCTCTTCTTAATGCTCTCGACACTTAGCTAAATACTACTATGGTCCGGCCTTGCAGATCTCAGCACCATTAGTCTCCAACTAACTATGGGTTGGTCTTAAAGCAAGTCATGTTTTGGGGCTGCCTGGCAATTTTTTTTAGCTAACTGTAATGATGAAAAGGGAGTATTAATGTATTCTGAAATCATATCTAGTTGAATGCATGTTTAAAAAAACAAACACAAAAACAAAGCTTGCTCAAACTACCTGCAGTGATTGATGCAAAACCATCATATGCAAAATCCAAAGGAATGGAAAATATTTTATAACTTGTATGTATCACTAATGCAGTGTTGTAATGTATGCAGAGTCTTAAAGATGTAAGTGTTAACGTGAATTTCTTCATAGAGCATCTGAAATCTCTTAAGTGATTCTTCATCCTTTGGGGTTGATGTAGGTTGCCAGTTGGAAACATGAAATTTTAGTTTTTAGCCATCAGTTTATTTCATACTGATTGCACTGGGAGAGAGTGGTAGGGACTGGGAGAGTATAGGGTGGGCCACAGCTACTTGGGGTAGCCAGGTTAATGGGCATCACTATCTTTTCATTTAGGTTTGCAGGGTCAGTTTGATGTAGACATTCTTAAAAGATTATCATGAGAGACTAGAGTTGTATGGCCAGTACATTTAGGGGCAATTTGCAGTTTGTCCATCAGCAAACCAGTTTTCTCTGGATTGCTATGTGTTACCATTACAAAGCTCTTTACAGATAGAGATGCTGTTTTCTATATCTTTATTGGAAAAGCCTTATGTAGAATTAAGTTATTTTCCTAGGATGGAAGATATGTGAAATAAACAGAAAAACTTGGAGGAGGTATTGTTCTCTTCCTGATTTAGTTTAGAAAATCATTTCCCTTTTTTTTCTTTGCTGAGAAATATTTGTGTTAGCTGAAAATATATGTAGGCATTGCTGTTCTTTCCCCCACAAAGAAGGGTAAGATTTCAGCTGTGTGTTCTCAAGAAAGTTGTATATTTAAGAACTATTAAAAAGGGAACAAAACTTTATTTGAAATCGGGTGAGGCTGCCACTATGTTTAGGCCTATCCACTTGATGGAGACTTAATCCTCTGAGACCATCTGGAGACAGGTGTGGGGAGGTCTGATGTCTATTGTCTGTGAGCCTCTTTTGCCATCTCTTCAGGCAACTGAGAGCACTCAGCACAAAGCAGGTATAGACAACAAAGGGTCAGGCAGCATCAAAATGCATTTACCTGCCAAGGATTATTATGGAATGGATTTTGTGGTTAAAATATGAATATTGTATATAAGAAATTGAGGCATTTTTTTTTTGAAAAAACAAACAAACATGGGTTCAACTTATATTGATGGGAGTTAGTCTGTTCTCAGATAGAGTCAGAGGGAGTGTGAGGAGAGGTTTTGTCTCCTCTCAGCAGTTTGTCAGGCAGGTGGAGGAGTATGCCCCTGTTCTACCCCATCATTGTTTCAAGTGCTGTGTGCTTTGGTTGGGAAGGGGAGTCTACTCTTCTTATGTCTCTGGCAACTAGGTCAGGGCTCTAACTTTGGTTAGGCTTTCATCCAGATTGGTGAGTGGGACACCTCACCCCTGAGCCTTTGGTAATCTTATTTTTTATAGTAAGTATTCTTTGTAATTTTTTTCACATTTTATTTTATAATAAAAAAGTTTAAGAATATTTTTGCATGGATCATGTAAAGAAAAGATTTCTTATTCCTAATACCTGTTAACATAGTGTGTCTACTAAAAAGAACTTTAAATTGCTTCATAAGCACTTAACCCATGTGTGTGTGTACAGTTTGTGCACACTTCTTAAACTTCGTGTTGTAATTCCTTCTGTATAGTGGATGGTTTGTAATATCAATAGGTTCCAGGTACAAGTAACAGAAAACTCAGTTTCCTCAAGTTAGTGTAATTAGTTGATAGGAGAAAATGTGATTTTAGTGTATGCTTTTAAAATGCCCCAAACAAAAAAATGGGAATACACACACGCACGCGCGCGCGCGCGCACACACACACACACACACACACTCTACCTAGGGATGGAGACATTTGAAATCAAGAAGAATCTATTAGAAGTTATATAGGATGTTTCTTCAGGCGTACTTGAGACTTAGGGTGAGTGTTTTCATGAGCACTAAATTAAATGGTGTTTTCAAGAGAAAGCAGAATGGGTTTCATTTCCCCCCATTTATATCAGTATCATGACACTTTCCCCCTAATTTTCTTTTTAAACCTTTTCCCTTTTGTCAAGTTGAGCTGAGAGACTTTATCAGATACTTTTGTGTTACGGAATATATCTTTTCAGTTGAAACTATCAGGGCATCAGCTATCAAATATGATGGTGAAAGGTAGACCTTGTCTAGTATGTATGAATCTGGACTTATGAATAGTAAAAGTATTATAGGTTGTAATTTTAGCAGCGTTTTAAATTCTTTCTAGTAAAATTAATTAAGGAATAAAAGTCCTGTTATAAACTTGCATAATTTGATATCCAAAGCACAATAGTGGAACATTTATTTATTTATTTATTTTTTAAAAAAAAAATATATTTTATTGATTTTTCACAGAGAGGAAGGGAGAGAGATAGAGAGAGTTAGAAACATCGATGAGAGAGAAACATCGACCAGCTGCCTCCTGCACATCCCCCCCCGGGAACGTGCCCGCAACCCAGGTACATGCCCTTGACCGGAATCGAACCCAGGACCTCTCAGTCCGCAGGCTGACGCTCTATCCACTGAGCCAAACCAGTTTCGGCAATAGTGGAACATTTAAAGAAATTTTGCTTCCTAATTTGAGAGCCTTTTAGCTGAATTATAGTTCTTTTAGAAATTGAGACAGGCAAGCAAAGGATCCTAATTCCTATAAACATGGACATCATCATGGATATTTAATTTGTTTTGTTTTTACAGCCTCTTTCCTAAAGTTTAGGAGGTCCGTTTCTCTGCTTATGGAAATGCTCTAGACTGGATGACTGAGTGTTTATCGATGAGCAAGCCATAATCCCATTAACTTGCTGCCTCTGAGAAGGGAGGATAACATCAGGACCAGGGCCATTTGTGATAAAACAGGCACATAGGTACTTCCAGAACCTTTTATGTTTCTTATGATAAATCTTTTCAGAGCCTTCTTGTTGGTGTGGTTATTAGACCTACCAGTTGCTATTCTGTGACTTTCTTGTGTACAAAGCAAACATAGTGTTTACAGGAGATTGAGGAAGGTCCTAAGGCTTGGGATGGGCACCTGGTTATTAAGCATCCTGTCCTTGCCAAGCTGGGCAGACAATGCCTGGCTCTCTAGGGTAGCATCATGACTTTAATAATGAGAGGAAATATATTCTTAAGGCACTTTGGATATGCAAATATCTGGCAATGTTGTTCCTTTATGTGGGTTTCTGTGAGTGTGTCTGCCAGTGATTGATTGTGGAAGGATGGTAAACACAGGCCACATCAATAGTGGAGCCTGCTTTAAAAAGGAAGCCCAAATTTCTCCTGTCCTTTGGAAACAGTATTACTCGGACCAGTTAGGCCACCTTCTCTCCATCTGGCAGCTGGGCACCTCAGTCATTGCTAGCCTGAGCATTGCCCATATAGGACAGGACACCTGTCTGACACCCTCCATTGGTTGCAAGGGTGGTTTAAGGATGCATGGCTTGAGGTGGGAGGCAACTTCTGGTCCTTCTCTGGTGCTTTCTATGGAATGGGGATAATCTATAAATAGGAGTGTGGTTGGCTTAGGGAAAGGGCAGGCTGTTTAGCTCTCCTCTCTGGCACATTTCAAGTATGTGTGTGTGTGTCCATCTGACTTGAGCAGACTGCAAATGACACGGTTCAGAAGAGAGTCTGATCTTTTCAGGTAGAAAGTTACAAGTTGGTCTTAGATGTTTCAGAGAATTTATCTCTTTATCCACTCTATTCACTTGAACAGAAAACCTGTGGATGTCATCACTTTATAAAAGTTCCCAGGACTAAAGTCAACTCACTTGGGACAAGGACAGAGGAGATGTGGACATCTCTATCCAGGGAACCCGAATGAACTATGGGAGATGGTATTCTCCAGGATTTGTACGTTGGAGGTGATAGGCAGCTCATCTCTGCCTCCTGAGCCCTGTTGGAGTCTCCCCAGGTCCTTGTGTAGATGAGTGAATAGTCAAACGATCTGAGGCCAGCACTCTTGTGCACCCTGCAGGATTGTTCTGACAGCCACTTGAAGGAGAGGCACCAAGGAGCCACATAGGTTGTGACTGACCAGGAAATGGTTCCTTTAAAAAATTTTTTTAAAAATAATTTCTAAATACTGTTTTTTAGACTGTTCTCTTGGTACATTTTTAAATTTACGTCAGCATTGTCTTCCAGTGTTAAAGGCATCCCTCACCTCTGCATTGAACTTAGATGTCAATCAATACAAAGGAATGGAATATCCATCCTGATCTAGTTCTATTGTCTGTAAATTCATACTATTTTAATTTTTTTTGCAATCTGATAAGTAGATGAGCTTAGATTTAAAATTATTAAAAGCACGTTTATTGTAACAAGAGCTATGTATTAACACTGCAGTTTTGAATAAAGATTGACTTGTGTTGCATATTATGGTTTTCATGATTTTTCCCTGTAGGTTTTGTCTCAAGGTGGTTTACCTGCCTGGGAGGTGTTGTAGTTTCTCTAAAGTTTGGAAATCCAGTGGTTTCGAGCAAAAGCCCTGTAGTGCTCAGCTGCTTCCCAGGTACTCTTGACCTTGGCAGTGTGTAAGGGTTTGTGGAGGCCACAGGTTGTGAGGACTGTTTCCCTAGGTGGGAAGGGGGAGGAAAGCCACCCTCATGCCTCTTCTTCTGGTCCTGTAGCTCAGGTCCTCCTGGGAAGACACATTCTTCCCCCTTTCACTAAGGAAGATGCTGAGACACAGAAAGATTATGGACTGCCTGTTCCCCGAACACATTTGCTAATTTCAGCTAAATATAAACTCTGAGAGCAGTCAGGGAGGGAGTGGGCTTCTAGGCCCTAAGGGGAGAGAGGGGCTGAGCCAGCCATACCTCACTTGGACAGCTCCCAGTGGCCCTGAGCCTCCTTCAAGCAGTTAGCCTAGCCACTTTAGCCTCTTTTCACTAAAACCGTGAGGCATGAGCTCAACTGGGTGAGGCCCTACTCCCAATTCTGGGTGCTACTGGGATTATTTACTCCAGGTTAAGGAAAGGTAGGCATACAGAGGAGAAAATGCATACACATCCATAGAAAACAAGGGCTGGCAGCCAGTTTATTTTTTACAAGTTTTTTTTTATGAAATTAAATGTAGTGTTTGGCTTGGAGAAGGTAGAGTAGTGCAAGTGACTACATGCTGCTGAATTCCCATGGGCCAGAGGGGCTGCTTGGCACTTTGCACCCACAAGCCAGGCCCTGGATGTACTCATGGGCACCCTTCCTTGGGGTGGGATGTAGGCTTCCCCCTCCAATCCACATACTCACTGGCTTCTGGGTGGACAGGTCAGTCCTGCATGCTGGGCTATAGAACTCAGTCCTTATCACTTCTCATGCTTACTTAGGGTAAGGCAATCTTCCTGTGTCACTAACAATTCTTTTTCTCCATTTTGAAAAACAAAATCCAAACAAAAAAACTGGAACCAGGTTCTGGAGTCAACACACAGCTACATGTGGACATACCCTGATGGAAGTTTGCAGTTGATTATAAACACATTACAAGTGAAGAGAGTGTCTAGAGAGGAACTGGGAGACAAAATGGATGGGCTCTGGGGCCAGGTGTGGTCATATGCAGAATACCCGGTTCCCACCCTCCAGAGATGTCAGCTGCCTGGCACCATCAGCTGGAGGCCTGCAAGGAGAATTGGAGGGCAGAGGGGCACACAGCCCAGTTTTCCAAGTGGTGGAAGGCAGACAGTCTCCTCCTGCCCAGAGAAAACAGGAGGAGGAATGATTAGATGTATGAAGAAGAGAGTCTAAAGTAGTCAGTCCTTTTACACATGTCCATCTTGCTGATGGTTCTCAGCTGTAGTTTCCAGGAGGCCCCACAAAGGTAAGGAGGGTGGCGGGAGGTTCCTGTGCTGTGGGGCTCCTGCCCCTCCAGCTTGTGTATGTAGTGCATCAGTAGTGAGGAAGAACCAAGAATAGGTGCAGAGCCTGGTACGAACTGGTGACACCAAGCCATTTCCTTGCTCAGCCCTGCTCACTTCCAGTTTGCAGAGTAGGCAGAGGAGGGCCGGAAGCCATGGGTGAACCTTGGGGAGGGAAAGCTGGAGACTAGCTGGCAGAGCAGGCCAAGACAGTGCTGTTGGCGGGGAATAGGCTCACTTGGGGAAGGGCGCCAGCCGCTAATGCTATACAAGAAGGTGGATGGCTTCTACTTGGGCTCTTCCAGCACCAAGACCTGTTGCTGGGGCAGGCTGGTTAGCAATGTCAGGTGCTCTTGGTGCATCAGATAGTAGGGCTGTCTGAGGGCTGGGTAAGGAGACAGAAGGGGTTATATAAGTGCCTAGAGAGTCATTAGTACAAGGCAGAATGGCATCCTCTGCTGTGGGGTGGTAGCATGGGACCTGTCCCAAGGCTCTGCCTCAGACTCCCATGGTAGGGAACTTGTTTCCAGTGGGGTTACTACACCCAGGAGCCTGAGCCACCCTCTTGTAGTGTGCAGAAATGAGGGCTAAGGGACCTGGAAGGTGTGAGGCCCTGGAGCTTCTCCATGGCATAGGCTCTGTGCAAGGCAGTTTCAGTACCTCTGTGGGAATGGGGATGTAAGGTGGCTGTGAGAATGACTGCCACAAAGCAGGCCTGGGGAAGTGAGCACTGTCACTATTACTAATGGTATTGCTTGGGGGCAGGGTTGTCTGAGGTGATAGAGAGCAAGAATTCCAAATGCATACTGACATAAGTTTCATCAGTGGTGACCCCTTATCACCAACCTTTGGGAACAAACACCTGCAAAGGGCAATGGGTAACTGAGGACCTAGGTGCTAGCTCACTTTGCCTTGGGGGTCAGAGAAGGGTTTGATCAGGACTAGGCTGCTAAAGTGGATATGGGACTACCACCTGCTTACCTTTGGGCTTCCCAAGTGCCTGCTGCTTGCTGGCATTCAGCATGGCTTGCTCCCTTTGCAGCTTAGTGATGGAGAAGCCTGGGAGCGAGGGGCACAAATGAGATACCTGCTTCCCTGCCAGGACTTTGCTGCTCTTCTACTTTCCCCTCCTCCCCTGCCCACAGTCCTTTTGTCCTATGCTTCCTGGCCATGGAGCAGCCCTCTGTGTACCATACTCGCTCTACAGTGCGCAGGGCTCACCATGCTGCAGGGACTGTCCTGCTCAGCCAGCTGGCCTTGGCTCCAGACAGAGCCAAGGTGCTCCTCCTGGTGCCCTTCTCAGAGCCCTCCCCACATTCTCCCCTTGCCCTACCCCATCTTTCACCAGAGGCTTTTCCCAAGCCAAGAGTCAATCTGGTCACTGCTGAGTATGAGGACAAGGGGCACATGGACAGGAGGGGAATGTGGTGGGGAGATACCCTGCTCATATGGGGATGGGACAGGCTTCTGGAGGTCAGTCCCACCTTCCACTCCAGTGTTATCCCTGCAACTGAGCACACTTGAGTGTACGTGTGTTGGAAGCAACCCCTCCCCCCACAAAAGGCCAGCAGAACCATTCCCTGGGGCTGAAATCAAGAGACCCTGGAGCCGCACCAAACCCTGAGACCCTTGGTCTATGAGACATGCAGTCCCAGTCAACAGTTGTCCTGACCTTGCATTCCAGGGTAAGGAGGCCTGGTGGGCCCTTGCAGTGCAGCAAAGTTGAGAGGGGCTATTTCACCTGTCTTCTGGTCCAGCCACACCTGCTCCCTCTCCTTGGCAAAGGCTTTGAGCCAGCACTGCTTCTTCAGGCTTCCTGGCACACAGCAGGTAGCTCTCTCCCATGGTTCCATAGTACAGCTGGAAGGCATTCTTGATGCTCATGTGGAGGTCTTTATCCTTCCAGTACTCTAGATCCACTACCTCTAAGCTATCCATTTCGACTCGGCCCTTATAATACAGCACATCCTGGTGTAGAAGGTCCTGCCAGAGGCACCGTGAGCTGCCAGCCCAGCCTGCTTGTTGGATCCCTCCCCATACTTTGAACTGCTCTCCTGACTATCTCTAAGACCCTGTGTCACTCACTGCCCTGTAACTGGAAGGGCTGATGGGCCACACACCTACCTCCCTAGCAGAGGATGAGCTCACAAGGGCATAGTGAGCCTAGTACAGCCCCCAATTATGTGCCAAATCTATGATGAAGAGCCTCACTCCTTCAGTTAAGTTATTGGCTAGCCTGAGGGTCTTTAAAGGCACCTGTAGTTTTGTGGGCAAGCAGCCATGGATACAAATAGTGAGCCAGGGTCCATACCACAGCAGAGAAGAGCACCAGGTATACCTGGGCCAAGTCAGTTGTCAGGAGGGCTTCTGGATAGAGTTACTTAGGCAATGTTTTAAAAGAGAAGTAGAGCTAGCAGCACAGAGGAGGTAGGGAAGCTACTGGAGCAGAAGACTCCAGGGCTAGGGAGGGGAAGCTGGGTTTTGTTCAGAGAGGAGGGTGTTCTTATAGTACTGGGCCCTGGTCAGGCTGCGAGGGCCACCCCATAGTCCCTGGGCTACTCACTCTCCCACCGTCATCCTGGCCCTAAGGGCAAGACCAGGGAAGGGCCTGCCATACTCAAGGCTCTGGGAAAAAAGGTGCCCTGTGTGTGTCATCTTTTCTCTGGGCAGCTGCTTCTAGCCCTTAGCTTCACTTTCTCCATTTCTGCTCTAAATAGGCTGTCCAGCAGGAAAGAGAGACCTTCTTACTGTACCTTCTTACAGTAGATGAGTTGGTGGTCAAAGAGAAAAAACATCCTCTGCTGGCTCTTGGCTTGTGGCTGTGTAACTCGAATCAGCTTCCCTGAGTAGATGAGTTCGGAGCTCCTGGCCAGGAGATCTTCCCCGTGAGAGACCGCAAAGAGAGCCACGAGCTTCAGACAACATCAGAGCAGTACCCAATAAGCTTCATAAGCAGCATATCCACAGAGAGATATTGGTAGGTACCAGACACTGTAGAGGCAAATTTCACTTCATGTGGTCAGCACCTGCAGAGCGACTCACATGCTGTGATCAGGCTTGAGCCTCAGGTCAGTGCCATGCACAAATAAGTCAACAGCACTCAAGACACAATTACCACAGGAGGGCCCACATAACCGATACAAGGAACAGTCCTGGACCACCCAGGTCAGGTGTCAAGAACACTGCACCCCTGAACCCCACAGAACACCTACTACATAAAGGCCACCCCATGAAGACTGGGAGTCATAACAAATCTATCTAGTACAAAACAAACAAAGGCAGCTAAACTGGGAAGACAAAGAAACAGGCCCCAAATTAAAGAACAAGGAAATCTCCAGAAAAATAGCTAAATGAAACAGAGGGAGGCAATTTATCAGATAAAGAGTTCAGACTAATGGTTACAGGTTGCTCAAAGCATGGAAAAAGATAAACCATAAAAAAAAAGACCAATCAGAAATGAAGAATACAATACCAGAACTGAATACACTGGAAGAAATACAGGTTGGATGAAGCAGAGGATTGAATCAGCAATTTTCAACACAAGGAAGACAAAAAATACCCAATCAGAGCTGCAAAAATTTAAAAAAGAATAGGTTAAGGGACCGTTGGGAATACATGAGGCATAACATCCTTGTGATAGGGGTACCAGAAGAAGAGAGAGAGCAAGGGATTGAGAATCTATTTGAAGAAATAATGACCAAAACTTCCTTAACCTGGTGAAGAAAAAAGATACAAGTCCAGTAAGTGCACAGAACCCCAAACAAGAGGGATCCAAAGAGGCCTACACCAAGACGTAACTAAAATGGCAAACATTAAAGACAAAGAGAATCTTAAAAGCAGTAAGAGACAGTTACGAGGTGCTCCCATAAGACTGTCAGCTGATTTCTCAACAGAAACATTTCACACTGGAAGGGATTAGCATGAAATAGTCAAAGTGAAGAAAAGTAAGGAACTACAGCCAAGACTGCATTAGTCAGCAAGGCTATCATTTAATATTGAAGGAGAAATTAAGGGCTTCCCAGACGAGAAAAAGCTAAAGAATTTCTTACCACCAAACCAGTATTACAAGAAATGTGAAAGTGCCTGCATCAAGAAGAAGAAGCAGCCCTTGGCTGGATGGCTCAGTTGGTTGGAGTGTCATTCTGTACACCCAAGGTTCTTGGTTCAATCGCAGGCACATACACACATATAGGAGGCAACTGATAGATGTTTCTCTCACATTGATGTTTCTCTCTCTCCCTCTCTCTCTCTCTCTCTCTCTCTCTCTCTCTCTCTTTCTCCCCCCCCTTCCCCCCTCTTTCCCCCTTACCCTTCTTCCCTTCTTCTCTCTCTCTAAAATCAATAGAAATCATATTCTCAGGTGAGAATTAAAAAAATAATAAGAGTATCCACAGGCAGCAAAATCTCAGACATATGCTGAAGCAGTATCTTCACCGATACAGCTCCCAGGACAATGGAAACTAAAGAGAAAATAGACAAATGGGACTACATCAAAATAAAGAGCTCTGCACAGCAAAAGAAACCATCAACAAAACAACAAGAAAGCCTACTGCATGGGAGAACATATTTGCCAATGTTATCTCCAATAAGGGTTTAATCTCCAACATTTACAGGGAACTCATACAACTTAACAAAAGGAAGATAAACAACCCAATAAAAAAAAAAGGGCAACAGACCTAAATAGATACTTTTTGAAAGAGGACATACAGAAGGCCAAGAGACTTATGAAAACATGCTCAAACTCACTAATCATGCGAGACATGCAAATCAAAACAACAATGAGGTATCATTTCACACCTGTCAGAATGGTTATCATCAACAAATCAACAAATGACAAGTGCTGGTGAGGATGTGGAGAAAAGGAACACTCGTGCACTGCTGGTGGGAATGCAGACTGGTACAGCCACTGTGGAGAACAGTATGGAGTTTCCTCAAAAAAACCCCCTAAAGATGGAACTCCCATTTGATCCAGTGATCCCACTTCTGGGAATATATCCCAAGAAACTGGAAACACCAATCAGAAAGGATATATGCACCCCTATGTTCATAGCAGCACAATTTACAATAGCTAAGATTTAGAAACAGCCTAAATGCCCTTCAGCAGATGAGTGGATTAAAAAACCATGGTGCATCTACACAATGGAATACTATGCTGCTGTAAAAAGGAAGGAACTCCTACCATTTGCAACAGCTTGGATGGCGCTGGAGAACATTATGCTAAGCGAAAGAAGTCAGTCAGAGAAACATAAATATCACATGATCTCACTCATTTGTGGATTATAATGAACAACATAAACTGATGAACAAAAACAGATCCAGAGACAGAGAAGCATGGAGCAGATGCTCAAACCTCAGAGGGAAGGTAGGGGAGGGTGGGGGAGAGATCAACCAAAGGACTTGTATACATGCATATAAGCATAACCAATGGGTGCAGACACGGGAGGGGGGGGGCAATAGGGGATAAGGACATATGTAATACCTTAATCAATAAAGAAAAAATAATAAGAGAAAACCCAACAACTTAGTAAAAAAATAACAATAAATACATATCTATCAATAATCACTTTAAATGTAAGTGGTATAAGTGCTCCAATAAAAAAACACACAACAACATAGTGTACCTGAATGGATTAGAAAACAAAACCCATATATATGCTGTCTACAAAAGACCCACTTCAGAATGAAAAATGTAGACTAAAAGTAAAAAGATGGAAAAATATTTCTTGCAAATGAAAATGCAAAATAAAAAAAAAGCTGGGGTAACACATATATCAGACAAAAGAGTCTTTAAATTGGTATAATAAGAGACAAAGAAGGACAATGCATAATGATAAAGAGAGAAATCTAACAAGAGGATATAACCCTGGTAAACATTTATGCACCCAACATAGGAGCACCTAAATATGTAAAGCAAATCTTAATGGATATAAATGGAGAGATCAACAGTCATAGTAGGGAATGGATTGTGGCTTCAAATAGCACATTAGATCGGTCAAATTTAATTGAAATCTTCAGAGCATTTCACCCAAAGCAGTAGAAT